TTTCACGACTGGACATATGTTTTTGTTTTTTCCCCCAGAAGGCGGAGCAAATCAGCTGATATTTGGCTGGCCTTGAAGGACCCTGAGACCCTGGCCCGTTTGGATTGAAGGCCACATTTAGGCATATTTCCGGATAAAACAATTTGGGTCGTTTTTGGGTCATTTGAGTCATTTCCCGAACATGGGTTTTGTTTAATGGGGAAAACCGTTCTAAAACCATTATAGGAAAAACCCATATGTGTTTATTTTGAACCATCCCTTAGAAGAAAGCAAATGGAAGTAAAGAAGGGGGTCGGCTTTGCGGCTCAAGGCTCTACGGCGACCTGGGACAGGATCCCCCCAACAAGGCAAGAAGTTCGCTCGCGAGCGAATCGAGCGGAGTTTCGGACGCGTGGTTCGGTTCCTTTTCTGAGTGTCACTGCCTGAGTTCGTGGACTGAAGTCACTTTTTGGGCTTGGACCACTTTAGTGGTTCCTGGTCTCCATGACCCTTAATTAAACAATGTGTAATGTGTAATGACCCCATGTTTTAGGGGTCATGGAGACTCCGGGTAATAAACAATTGGTTTGTTTTGGCCCCTCCACTCAGGAAGTGAGGAGTTGGTACCCTCTTGTTGCTAAACGCAACTTGTGTTTTTGGTTCTGAAGGGTCTATCACTACTGGCTATATATATATATAATTTATATATCATTGGTCCAGACGAAAAAGTAATGGAGATTTTGAAACGGTTTCCCTTTTCGAGTTGCTCTTTGTTTCCACAGAGGTGGGTGTGTGTCTTCTCCTTTCAACTTTTGGAGGCAACGACTCTGAATTTCCAGTATACCCAAAAATGAGTGCCCCTTGTTGCCTACGAAAATCCCTCAAAACAGATGAATTTCCCTTTGGAGCAAGAAGGGCACGCTTAAACGTTCCTCTTCTTGGCAAATATGGTTGAACCCCGTTTTTCTTTTTCAAAACTCATCTCCCTTCTGTCGTCGATAATGCGGTCGTGTGGTAATATCATTATGTCAGTGTTCTGCCTCTTTTACAGATCCAGCAATTCCAGGAGCGAACATCCTTTACTTTGGATCCTCCTTTGTTTAGCAATTGCAGATCTAGTTGTGGCGGTTGCTTTCAAACAGCGGCGGGCGGTCGTTTGACACCATCAGGAGAGAAGAAAAGGCTTCCAGAGTGGATAGAATTTGTACTTGTTCTGGAACACCAGGTGAGTTTGTGTCAAAATAGGACACTCCAAATAGATTTGGTTTGCCTGTAGGTGTCCCTTTAAACCCACCTGACAGCAGGTACATTACCTCCAAACATACACGCATATGTCAAGGCAAAAGGTTTCATTTGATATTTCCTTTTTGGTTGGGAGGGTTCCCCTACCTAGAATAGACGAAACAGGAAAAAGTTGGTACCATCCTCTCTACTGGAGGACCTAGTTCACTCAAAGTTGATAGGGACAATGATGGATCCCTTCACCTTGCTGGTGTGATAGGTAGGCAATCTGGGAATGAACCCAGGCTTTGGTCCCCCTAAAAAGGACACCACCAGTTGGATGGTTTCTAATGGTTATTGCATGTCTCATTCCCTATCGCACCGGCAAGTCATGGGGAACTCTGATGAACACAGCGTTTCCTGGGCCAATGTTGGGCGGCTTGACCATGGCTGTGTCCCGTTGAAAGGCGACGATTGGCAACACTGGCGGCCTTTGCCATGGTTGATCCAAAGGTCCGATGAACATGTGGCCAGGAGGTAAAACCACCAAACATTTTTTAGGTTTCACCACGAAATGGGAAAATTTAGCCATGGTCATGTTAGGGCCAGGAAGATTGATCCAATAAAGTCTGCCAGCGTTTTCTTGGGGTCAGCCACGGTCATCCACCTAGGAACCAGGACCTAGGCCGTACAGGGAGGTCTGACCATGGCCCATATGATGCTAGTCCCTTCATACTAGTTTCATTGGCATGTGTACTTGGCATCACTTCACCTTTGTGCATAGCAACCATGCGTCAGGTCGAACAAATGAGACGGGGTCTTTTTGAGACTCGTAGTGACATTCAGTGCAGCCCAGGCTTAAACCTGACCGAACATCCGAGTTTCACAGCCCGAAAAGGGGCTGACTAAGCCCAGGTTCGGTCAGCTCATTTGGAGCCCCGAGGCAAGCCATGCTTCATGACAGTTTATTTCTTAGCTGGAGTCTTGAAGCATATTTTACATATTTGATGGTGACGAAATCTGGTGAATCCGAAATCTGAAGGTTCCACCTGAGTACTGCCCAACACTTCAAGTGCTTCTAACTGGTTACTTTAGTGCACACTGTAGGCATGAGTTCTTGGTGTTTCTCTTTTCATGTTTAGGCTGCAAAAGACGGTCAGTTCTTTCGCAAGCCCATACCAAGAAAGTGGAAAGTTACCCCAGGTCTATATACCTCGGGCGTCAGGAGGAGCTCATCCACCAGTTCCGGCGCCACGCCGACGCGGGCGATGGGCCAACGACTCGGGCGACTCGGGTTTCG